CATTGATCTAACTGATTATTTCTATGCTGGTGTCATGTTGGTTTAATTGCTGAGACTTTATAATGGTTTTAAATTTTTTAAAATATTTTGTAATTAACTTTGAAATTTAAAAAATAAATAAAATCAATCTGCATTTAAGGAAGAAAGAAAGGAAGAAAGAAAGAAAAAAAGAAAGAAAGAGAGAGATGGAACTCCTACCTTTGCAACAACATGGATGGAACTGGAGAATATTAAGCTAAATGAAATAAGCCAGTTGATGAAAGACAAATACCATATGATCTCACCTATAAGTAGACTCTATTCAACAAAATAAACTAATGAACAAAATAAACCACAGGCATGGAAACATGGAGCAGACTGAAAGTGACCAGAGGGGATGGGGAAAGAGGACAATGGTGGAAAGAAGGGGAAGGGACTAGACAAAGAACATGTATGAATGACCCATGGACATGGACAACAGAGTGGGGATTGACTGCGGGAGCGGAGAGTGTGAGTGGGATGGGTGGAGGGGGGTAAAGGGGGAAAAATTGACACAACTGTAATAGAATAAATATGATTTATAAATTAAAAAAATAAAAATAAAAATGTAAAAAAAATTGAGAGTAAAGTACAGAAATTTCCCATATACCCTCACTCCCACACATGTATAGTATTACTCATTTTCAACATCCCTCACCAGATTGTTACATTTGCTACAATGGGTGAATGTATATTGACACGTCATCATCACTCAAAGTCCATAGTATACATTAAGGTTCACTCTTGGTGCTGTACATTCTCTGGGTTTGAACACATAGAATAACATGCAGCCACCATTTAATATCATCAAAGTATAATCCTATATCATAGTATCACTGCATATTTGTACCTCATTCCACCCAAAATGTGACAACTGCTGATATTTTTAACTATATCCTTAGCTTTGCCTTTACAAAATATTGTATAGTTGAAATCATTAACATTGGTTTATTTGCACTTAGTAATATGTATTTAAGTTTTCTCCATATCTTTTCATAGCTTGATAGCTCATTTTCTTCATTAAATGTATTGAGGTGACAATAAGAATATAGATGTTCTAAGTATGAAGTTCTATTATATATGATCTGTATATTGCATTGTGAGCCCACCATCCAAGGTCAAATCTTTTCCCGTCACAATATATTTGACCCCCTTGGCTATCCCTCCACCCCACTTCCCTCTAGTAACCACGATGCTGTTGCCTGTCTTTTGAGCATGAAAGAGATATTTTTTTAGCTTGCTGGTGGGAGTATAAATTGATAATACTTTGTGCAGGTAGTCACATATGTCTTAACCATAAAAGTATATATCTTTTGGAGAAATTCTGATTTAAGTAACTATTTCATGAAAAATAAGAAATGCATAAAATGTTTATAACTGTTTTGTCCATTTTTATGTTGTGATTTCCATGACAAATTTAAAACAACTTACCTTTGCAGCAAGTGATGTACATGAAGTAAAGTCAAATAAAAATGATTGACAGTGTTATTATAAGAAAATACTATACTTATTTCCAAATTAGCTTAAAGTAAAAGGAATAATTGAATGTGATTAAATCAGAGAGAAAACATAAACCATATACATTGTAGAATTCCAAGCTCCTGAGGAGTCAGGCCCCAGGACTTTGCCTCTTAGGGAGTGGTCCATGAATTTCCTGCATCAGCTTCATCTAGGAGGCTAGTTCAGACTCTCCATCATTCATTCTTCATTCATTTCAAATGATCTTTGTCTCTTACTGATGCCACTGCCTTCAAGCACTTCTATACTAGCTGCCACCACACTATTAAACAATTGTATTGCCTGCAGAGTTGGGCTCACTTCTAAAATCAGTCAAGAAATCCACCTTAAACACATGCCACAGCCAGGTATGAATGTCTGATCTCTTGTCTCCAGGGATTTGTTCAGTTTTATTCAGTGTAAAAACATTTTCCTGTTTTTGCAGGAATTGTTGAAAACTTATTCTTATTCAACAGCTATGCCGGGGGGAATCTTGCAAAGAAAAAAAAAAAGGAAAATCGCTATCTTGTACAAGTCATATTGTGTTTCAACTTCTGGAAGAACATATTAAGACAATAAGCAAAATTTGCACTTAAATATTAATATATAAAATTGCCAAATGTAATAGTGTTTGCATAAAATTATATTAAAAAATACTTCCATTACCTGTATGATTTTTGGCATGCTACTTAAACTCTTTGTGGCTGAATTTCCTCACCCATAAAATAGGAATAATACTATTACTTACTTAAAAGGTGTTTTTGAATTTTAAATGAGTTAACATATTAAAATGTATTCAAAGTGTTCAGAACAGTGTATGCAATAGTAGTTAACAGTTAAAATTATTATTGTCATCATATAAGTAACAATAGTGCAATGGTATACTCATTGCTAATATATTATTGTCATTAAAATTTTTAATAAAAATAATATAAAATGTGTTAAAATCGGAAATAAATATTGTAACGACCTCTTTATTGCTATATATAAATCTAACTGTACATTGATTTAAAAGACTAGAATGGAATAAAACATATGATCTTTTTCATCTCTGTTATATGTAAAATGTGGTAATATACTTCTTTGTAATTCATATTTAAAGAATGCATTGGTTTTGTAAAAAGCTACTAATAAAACTAGAATATTTGCGTGGCATCAGAGAGCCTAAGGAAGACTAATCTATACCACGAATTAATATTTCCCACACTGTCTCAAATTTTCTTGAATGCTGCTGTCTAGAAAACAACCAGCCCATTGGTAACTGAGTTACACTAAATCTTAAAAACAAAAAGTCACTGTAATAGACTAAGTGGAAATGATCATGGTCAAGACCATCTCGGTTGTCTTGCCTGAGCTTCAACATACATGGTTACAAAATCTGAACCGTATTAAATCTGTGCAGCGTGGCGTGGTACTTTGGCAGTGTCACTCAGAGGCATACACTGCATCTAACAGCAGGAGCATGTGACCATCAGGCTGTCGGGTAACACTCGCCTACTAACACTGCAAGGAGGCTCACTGTCTGTGATCTACGCCCTCCCACTACGGCACCATGGAAGGAAAGCAGAGGATGTGTGTTCAGCCACAAAGAAAGAAACCCTCAAATAAGAACGAAAGACAAATGCACTGAAATAGTGCATCAAGTAATGTGACACAATGAAGAAATCATGAGAGAAAATGAACTAAAGGGCCAGTCGCTCAAGGTGGTTCACTGAAGTAAAACTTGAGCAGAGGAAAAATGGTCGGGTTTTGTAATCAGTTGATGTTGCTAGTCAGCTAGCAGAAATGTGCCAAAAATAAAAATCTTCTTATAACAGATTATTGTTTAGCTTCTGGTTTAAAATAAAAATATGTGTATGTATGTGATATATTTTACACAGTAGTGAGTAAGTAGATAGATATTGCGAGCATATCAAATGCTCTGCTGAATTTGCTAACAGTTAAAACATCTCTCAAAAATGGCAGGATTTGAGAATTAGACCGACCACAAATAGCATAGGAATCAGTGCAGTGGAGCTGCATACGTTGGAGAGAATTTTGATATTTGGATTAAAACAATAACATATATTAAACCAATGAATTCTTTTTCACGTGGACCATTAGAATGACTACATTTTAAACTAAAACACCATCTTTTTAAAAACCACTGCATAATTATCAGTGTGATATCTTTAAAAAAAGTTTTCTCCTTTAGAAAAGTTGTCATTGCATAAACTATATTATAAATAAGTTACAAGTTATGATTGTGAAATGTAAAGTTTATTATCTAATAAATACCTCTTATGTAATAATTTTCTGAGAATAGATAACTTTAAAAGATCAAAATGGCTATTATCTTGGAAACAGTTGACATGAAATGACATCAGATAAATTTAGGTTAACATTTTGATTCCAAAGCTACTAGTGATAGGACATATAGCAAGTTTATGATCTTTTTAAGTATTACTTAACTTCATCAACTAAAATCATGATTACTTATATTTAATTCATATATTTGTTGGGATAAAATAATTTCTGGAAACTGTCACTTTCAATGACTGGCATAAGGTAGTATCAAATGAGAGTTCTTATATGTTTGAAATCTTAAAGAACATTAAAAAATCAAAAACAGGCTTACTTATAATTACATGCCTGCTAGTTTGTCCATAGTAAGCCAAAACTGAAAAATTTAAATGTGAGAGTAATCATTTGCAAAAGATAAGGAATGTAACTGAATTGAAAATTAGTCATTAAACAGTTAATTTCTTTTTAATTTTCCAAATATCCTATTCAAGAAACAGCTTGAAAGACATAAATATAATCTTGAGAGCCTGTGCACTTCCAGCTGACAAATGTTGCCTTTTCCATAGAGTTTGGTGAAGACTGTTTTTTTGTATTCTTTTGTCCTGACTGCCTGCAGGTCTCCTGAAAAGGAAATTACTCAGATTTTATTACTTAAATGACATAAAATTTTATGACTGAGATATTATGGGTGTGAGGATTCAAAGGACATGCATATAAGAGACATTCAATCATTTCATATAACTAATCTTTTGATTTTCATACATTTACCCACAGAGTAATTGTGTTGTTTCCTAATTTGTCTTTTACATTCTTTTATCATTGGCACAAATTGAAGGCACAACGTTTTTAATAACAGCATTTTTTTTAGCACATGTAAATCTTTAAATCTGAACATGATCATAAGAAAAATAGTCTATAAAAGAAGAAAAAATCTTTAAAGTTCTGGTAGTGTTAAAAAAAACCCCTACATTTTCTGTTCAGTTTCAGCTTCTGTTAAAGAAGCTTTTATTTCTTTTTTCTTGTTTTTTTTTCTTCCCTCCTAGATGAGTGCCTGCAATGTTAAACCATGAATCCGGTAATACTTTTGTACATGAATCACTATTGCATTCATACTATTAGCCTTGAACAGATGTCAGAAAGTAAAGATTGGCTGCTTCTAGATGTAGCTGCTGCTGCCAAGTCTCGCGAGCTTTGTCAGTAACAGTTGATTGTAATGTCAGTGCAGTCCAATTTACAGGCTGGAGCAGCAGCTGCATACTGCATTTCCCTGAAGTAATACATGATTTCCATTTCTTGCAAACTTTATCATCTTGTTGCAGTGAGTCGGGTAAGTTGCTCTGAATTTACATCTTTGGGTAGCAATGCAAGTTACTGTGAAGCTCATTCTGAGGGAGATTGTGATACCTTCATGTGTTTGTTGTGCCCCTTTGGTGCTCTGTGGGGGACAGTCAGCGAAAAGGTCAGATAAAACAAGTGAGCAGACATATGCATGAAATTTTCCTATTATTCAGGGAACAGAGGCTGAGTCCATTTGACTGCTGAGGAAATAATGAATTTGTCCAACTTTGTATAAGGGATCGTAGCACTTGTGGAATCACTGTTATGTATGTTTTTGTGCACTCCCTAAGTGAAAATGTTTTATGCTGTTTTTCCATTAAATGCACTGTTGAGTGAATTTCTCCCTAAAAGAGTAACAAAAGTGGTCTCTAACCAGTTTTACTCTATTTTTCTAAGTTGTATGAAAAGAATAATTCTCTTGTTGTCTGGCATGATAGGATACTTTCCTTAATCAACATTTTCACCATCTGAAACTTTAACAATATCAATAGACAAAGGAAAGTCTAAATTTCTTATATCTAAAAGGAAACTATATTTCCTAATTTGATTTACAAACTTTTGGCCCATTTACCTTGTTTGTCTTCTTTTAATATGTATGTAAATTATAGCATACTATTTTATATTTACTATTTTTTTATTATAGTCTATAAGCAACTATAGAGTTCTGTCAATAGTCTATTCTTGTAAACCTACCTTTATTTTGATGAAATCAGTTCTTGTTTAACCAGAAGATTAAGTATTGAGTAAAATGTATGAATTATTAAAAGCAAACTAAATGTTAACAACATTATTTCATTGTTAATGATTTCTATTTGTATTTTTTAATTTTTAGAGTCTGCCTTAAAAATTGTATGAATATATTGCATGGTAATAAGCTGAATTAGGAGGTGTTATTAATAGTCTGTGTAATGGTTTCCCGAATGTAAACTGTCTTGGAGTTATGATAAATATATTTCACCTGTATAAATGGTTACTTTTTAAAAAGAATGAGGATTAACTTTTAGAGAGTAGCCTTATCCTTTAAATGAGAATCCTTAGAATTCTCTGTTAATTGTAAGTAACATAACTTTTTGGATGCCAAATAAAATTTCGAACTGGATTTGCAAAGTTTTACTTTATTCTCTTAGATTTGTTGTTACTGTTTGTTTATAGGGTCCTGCTTCTTTAATTGTAAGAAAAATATGTGACGGTCCACATTTCAGTTTTTAAATACAAGCTAATAATATCTTTTAAGTGGTATCTTATTTACAGACTTAGTTTGTGCTTTGATTTATTTCTCAGTAATAATTAATAAAACCTATTTAAATTGTATTCTGTCTTACTTTAATGCTTTTCTAGCAAAACATGTTCATTCTTATAAAAACTGTCCCAGATGTTAGAGAATGATAATTGAATAGATGTTAACCTGAAAACAAATTCTACTTTCAAAGAAGGTCCAAGATATCTCTCTAATATTAAATGTTTAAATTATTCACACACAAAAAAATGGTTGTCACTGTTTTTCCTGATTGAGGACAGATACAGATCTTCTGTTTCTCATACCTAATATAGTCTCTTTTATCTGCACACATCCTTTTGTTGCTTAATGGGTATCTGAAGGATCCCTGAAAGACAGTGCTACAGTCTATTTACAAATAGACTTCCTCAGTTCCCCACTTCACTTCACTTCACTTCACTTGAAACAAAACAAGCTTTTTAGGTTTACTGTAATGGAGTAGTTGTTTCAATTTGACAAAATTTATTTTAGCAGTGCTTGTGCTAGATCATATTATCCATGTAGCACTTCCCCAGTTTTAAGAGCCATTATTTGTATATAAAATATATATTTTATTTTAACTATTTAAAATACAGGAAAATTACCTGATATTCAGATAAAACTATTATCAATATTTGCTTGACCATTCATTAAGAAGTGCTTAGATGGGCAATTATCTAGAAAATTTGGTTGATGTCCAGTTATGGAAATCATATGGCAAATATATAGCTCTGTATATCACTCATTTTCTTATACCCTTATCTTATACTGTAACTACGTTTATTTTAATCGGTCAAGGAATTTTGATTCTACTCTCAAAATTGTATGAAAACTGCAAAATAAAAAGAATGATTTTTTTACCTTTTTTATTTTGAAAGTTATATTTTTTAAAAGTTTACAATGTTTTCTCAAAATTTCCAGTTGACTTTTATATCCTAGAGCATTTGATAAACTTTGAAAACTATAGTATTCATTATCTTTCAGGTTTTTTCCTCTTTTTATTTTCAACATTCACTTCCCTTTGCAATTCCAAACAGTAACTCCAGCCTATCTTTCAAATATTAAACACTATGACAGTAAGTTAATTAATCTAAATTCAGATACTTAGTTGTACTTGGCATGAAAATTCACCTTATTTTTTTATGACCAACATTTTATGTGTTCTCTGTATTTAAAGTGTTTATTTAATGTGATAATAGTCAATTTGTACCAGAATTTATAATAGAAAAAATAAAGTTTAGTTGAATATTTTAATTATTAATAAATATTTAAAGTTATAGACTTTTTAATAGCTACCTTTAATAATTTATTTAGACTATTAGGTCATGTGATGGCATATATTAAAAATATAAATATCTCTTAAGGGTAGAACTACAGAGCAACAGGCTAAGTTCAATAATAAATTAGTAAATGGACAAAATAATGCTTATTTAAATAAAGTAATGCATTTGAGTAGAAAAATGTTAGGCTACACTAACAATAAGTATATGAACAGATGCATATTTCAATATTAAAGTTTAAATTTAATAATATGGCATGTAACACTTTCTCGTAAGTAGCATGAAGATCAGTTGGAATTATATTGCCATTTTGTAATGAATACATGCTTAGAATGATTTTTTTAATATTACTAATTATATTATTTACAGTGTGATTACTCATATATATCATTATTGAAAAAGCAAGATTATTATTCATATAAATCATAGTACCTTCAAGATCCACTCAGCACAAATTATAAATAAAAATATACAAGAAGCAGTTATGTAAGTCAGTGACATGAGAATGATATCGCGACCTTTTGTTGATACAGTAAGCATTTCTTAACATACAATAAAATTTTTCACATTTATTAATTACATAGAAAAACAAAATATTTTGGTAATAATTATACTTGCTCTGCAATAAAATTAATAAATTGTATAAAAAAGAATGAAAATTATAGGAGACCAAAAATTATTAGGATTTGATTTTTGGTTTTTAAACAAAAAAATACTTATATAAACCAATAAAAACTCCGACGATCTTTACATTAGAATCAGAAGAACATTGATTGAGGTTGGCCAAAGAGAGAAATGTGTCCAAGAAGTGATGCTGTGATTAATCCGTTGAAATGCATTTCAAAGTAGAGGCTTGCTTTGTATTTTAAGTCATTTTTCTTTCCAAAGTAGGCTTGTAATAAAAGGAAAAAATTGCATGAGCATGCTTTGTTCTAGTCCAAATGCCCACCTCCATTTATTCAAAAGAAAGGGCTTAGGAATTATTAGAAGAAAAAAAATAACTGTTAGTAGTGCTTCTAAAACTCTTAAAATGTTAGCAGTATAAAATTTCATTAGTAAGTATCAAGTCTACAAGAACCTTTATCTATTATATTTATTTATTATATAAATATTTTATTTAATATAATTATAATACCTAAATACTATCAGTATAAAAAGTATTAAAATATTATATACTTCAATAATATATTTTATTGATTTTAGCATACATTCAATTGTATCAAAATTCAGAACATTCAAAATAATGATTGTTAAATTTTTTAAAAATATAAAAATCATTATATATACATATATGTATATGTGTGTGTATATATGTATATATGGATTAGACACAAAGTAGATACATAGATATAGACATAGCCATAGGTGTAAACAAAGATAGAGACAGAGATAGAAATAGATATAGAGATACATCCATAAGTACTTGACACTGGGATTAGTCAGATATTTTTGGAGAATCAAAAGTACTTGTAGATCACTAGCTGTCTTATGAACAGTGGTGAATTAGGCTAATTTAAAATATGAGTATCTTATATCTAGGACAGTTATCAGGATAGGACCTTACATCTGCCTACTAAGAAAATCTAAATTAAAAAATGATAATAACTAATCATAATACAAATTGTTAATGCTCAGAAGATGAACTTCTTGGACACATTTGTTGGATTTACAATTATAGTATCAAAAATATTAAAGAGAATAGTTTGTATAGTTGTGGACCTTTATTACTATTACGTGGTTTAGTGCTTGTATTTGACAATTTGAATCAGGTTTTCTTTCAGTTATATAAGGGTCTTAGTTCTTTTCAATTATATTTGAATTACATTTTCTTTCCCTCTTTGTCATATAAAGTTTCTGAATCTGATTTGTAATTATTTTATTTTTAATATCTTAAGAGTACACTATGAATATTTAATAAAACTTTCATCTCCCTAAATGGTTTTTTCATGTCTTCAAAGAAATATTATTTAATAAAATGCTTAACAGTTATAATTTTGCTGGTCTCAAAGATTATTTTAGCTTCCCACACTTTTTCTAGTAATTTCTCAACCACAGTTTTTTACTTTACTATCAAAATACAAGTATGTCTGTTTCCACGGTCCCTTCTGTCGCCCTAGTTGCTTAACAATTTCTTTCGTTATACAGTCTCAGTGTATAGTCAGAAGAGATTTTGGACAATGTATTCATTGCATGTTAAGTAGCAAATAATACAATAAGTTGCATTTTGTTCATACATTATGAAAACTGACTAATCTACTAACACTATAAGACCTATAGGAAAAATTGGAAAGGTAGGACTGTGGAGATATACCAGATAATTTCTCTGAAATTAAATGAATTAAATAATCACATAGTCTTCTTTATCTGACTGTGCTGCAACCATTCAGGGCCAGACAGGTTCATGGGATTTGTGCATATGGAAGAATATTCACAGAGCCATTGGGACATCTGACATGTCTTTATTCAAGGGTGGATGATGCACGCATGCTGCAAGCTGCGTGTCACATGGCATGTCCCACAGCATGTCACCTGTCTCTTCTGCGTGGTACCCAGTGTGGGCCCTTGAATTCCCCCTCCATGTCTGTTTGTACACCCAGTGAGAAGCCCCTGCTTTCTTAAGTACTAGCACAAACAGAGCCGACCTCAGACCAAAAAGTAAAGTAATACAACATGAACTGTGCATGGGAGCCAAATTCATGTTATGGGAACTGTTTATTGGACCCAGACTCAAAGCTGTGAGACCCAGTCTCAAGGCTATGAGAACACTACTTTATCAGACCCCTTCAAGGTTGTGAGAAACTGTTTCTCTTAGTGACCCAGACACCTGGGTGAGGAAGCCAGACTGCCTCCACTTACCCCACATTGAATTACAATGTCAATGGAGAGAATCGGTGGCTGATAATATAATATATGGGAGGAGATTCTGATTTAGAAAGAATTTTACACTCAGGGATTATTCACTGCATATCTGCACATTAGTTAGTTATTAAAGTAAGTGCAGCTCGTGAGGTTAAATGTGTTAGCATGTTCGGGAGTACTGTATTTTGATAGTTACAAAAAAGACTAAAGTTGAGAAATTACTAGAAAAAGTGGGAGAAGCAAAAGTAACCTTTGAGATTGCATACAGGAATAAGCCATTAGGCAAAAAGGACCACAGAAAGGACCACAGAAAGGGCCGCAGAAACAGAAAAAGACAATAATACAGTAAGGATCCTTAAAGGTTCTTAACCTACTTTACAGTTATGTCAAGAGCCAGGCAGCCATAATTAGAACTGTAAATATTTCAGAGAATGCATGGGCTTGTATTTCCTCCTCTAAACAAGGTAGAAATTATACCTGCAATAAATAGACCACAACTTAATGCCACTTATGATGAGGTTGTGTATGCTAAGTATACATACTCATACATGCTTGAGAAAAACTTCCTATACAAGGGGTGGGGGACCCACAAGTCCCAGAATTTATTTATAAAAAATTGTATATTTATTCGTACATGTTTAAACTTTGTTCACCTTCAGAGTACTCTCCATTTGATGCAATACATCTATCAAGACATTTTTTCCACTGCTCAAAACTGTTTTGAATTGATCAATTGTGATACCTTTTACAGCTTCTGCCATTTTTTGTTTCACTTCTTCCACATGGACCAAAGGTTTACCTTTGAAGACTTTTTTTCATCCCAGGAAATAAACTAACAAAAAAAAAGTTGCTTGGGATGAGATCGGGTGAATACAGAAGGCAGGGCATGTGGGTCATGCCATTTTTGGTCAAAAACTGCTGAACACTTACCAAGATATGGGCATATGCTCTTGTAAACCACCCATTATGAAATGGGCAAACACATTCAAAGAGTCTTCAAAAAAATTCACTGAAGCTGTATGCAGCTTCTCATAACAAAAGCCAGCTCCTACACTTGATACAGATGGGTTCCTAGAACACTCTCCAAAGTGGAGGAAACCTGTCTTACAATGAGCTTGCCCTCCAGAAAATAATTCCAGTTCATTGGGTCCCCACCCTTTAACATACTAAATCTTCCCTACAGAGGTTTGATAATAAATTTTTCCAAAATGAAATAGTTTCTGCTTTTTCATTCTATGTACTTGTTTTTGAAATTAAAAACTAAAATATCTCCAACTATTTCCTGGGTTTTTTATATAAACCTTTGCAGGGTTGCAGACTTACTATTTTTCATCATTTGTAAGATTAATTAGAGCTGCTATATTATAGTTAGTTATCATCAATAAAATATAATGCCAGGTGCATGAGGCTGTTAAAACTTGCTACTTACCTCTCTTTCAGAAACCAATATGCAGAGCAAGGGTACAATCATAAACATCCAATTTCTTTTGCGGCTTCTTCTACTCTGGCTGCTTGTCGGGAATTCATGCTCTGAAGAAGACACCATCGTTACAACCAAGAATGGTAAAGTCAGAGGGATAAACTTGTCAGTTCTTGGTAGCACAGTAACAGCCTTTCTTGGAATCCCCTATGCACAGCCACCGCTTGGTAGACTTCGGTTCAAAAAGCCACAACCCTTGACCAAGTGGTCCGATATTTGGAATGCCACAAAATATTCAAATTCTTGCTATCAGAACACAGATCAAAGTTTTCCAGGCTTCCTTGGATCAGAGATGTGGAATCCAAATACTGACCTCAGTGAAGACTGCTTATATCTGAATGTGTGGATTCCAGTACCTAAACCCAAAAACGCTACTGTAATGGTGTGGATCTATGGTGGTGGTTTTCAAAGTGGAACGTCGTCTTTATATGTTTATGATGGCAAGTTTCTGGCACGAGCTGAAAGAGTTATTGTGGTTTCAATGAATTATAGGGTGGGTGCCCTAGGATTTTTAGCTTTACCGGGAAATTCTGAGGCACCAGGGAACATGGGCTTGTTTGATCAACAGTTGGCACTTCAGTGGGTCCAAAGAAATATAGCAGCTTTTGGTGGAAATCCTAAAAGTGTAACTCTCTTTGGAGAAAGTGCAGGAGCAGTTTCTGTTAGCCTTCACTTACTTTCCCCTAGAAGTCACCCATTGTTTACCAGAGCCATTCTGCAAAGTGGATCTTCTAATGCCCCTTGGGCAGTAAAATCTCTTGATGAAGCTAAGAACAAAACATTGACCTTAGCTAAGTGTATTGGTTGCTTTAGAGAAAATGAGACTGAGATAATCAAATGTCTTCGAAATAAAGACCCCCAGGAAATTCTTATGAATGAATTATTCATTGTCCCCTATGGAACACTCCTGTCAGTAGCTTTTGGTCCAGTGGTGGATGGTGATTTCCTCACTGACATGCCAGACGCATTACTCCAACTTGGACAGTTCAAAAAAACCCAGATCTTGGTGGGTGTTAATAAAGATGAAGGGACAGCATTTTTAGTATATGGTTCTCCTGGTTTCAGCAAAGATAACAACAGTATCATAACTAGAAAAGAATTTATGGAAGGTTTAAAAATATTTTTTCAAGGACTGAATGAATTTGGAAGGGAATCTATACTTTTCCATTACGCAGACTTGTTAGATGACCAAAGAGCTGAAAACTACCGCGAGGCCTTGGATGATGTCGTTGGAGATTACAATTTCATATGCCCTGCCTTGGAGTTCACCAAAAAGTTCTCAGATTTGGGAAATGATGCCTTTTTCTACCATTTTGAACACCAGTCATCCAAACTCCCTTGGCCTGAATGGATGGGAGTGATGCATGGTTATGAAATTGAATTTGTCTTTGGCTTACCTCTGGAGAGAAGAGTAAATTACACAAAACCTGAGGAAATTTTGAGTAGGTCCATAATGAAACGCTGGGCAAATTTTGCAAAATATGGGTAAGTGCCAATTTTTGTAATTATTCTGCTTTTGGGTTGTTTGTTTTGATTTGCTTAGCTTTGCTTGGTGTCTGGTGCAGACTTCATTAAAAGCACAGAAACATTTAAAATATTTATTCTCTTTGTACTTTAAGCTGGTTTTGTTTTTTATTACATAGCGGATTTCAATTCTTTGCATTGGTGTGCTTAAAAGAAACCATCAACAAACTTTTATGGAAAACTATTCTGTGATATCATTTCCAAAATACTGCAGAACACTTTAGCAATGTAAGCCAGCGTTTGTAAGAAAATAGATGTTTTCCTTGAGAACTGAAATTACTTTAACCGTGCTTTTTAACTTGAAATTTCTTAATGTTCACAGGTTGAGGAAAGAGTAGAAATTTATCTTTTCCTCATTCTTTTAAGCAGGGGTAGAGTCCTAACTGATACATGCACAAACACACCAGCTCAGGGAAACCAAAGGACAACATAGTCATGGGATTGGTCCTTAGATTACCCAAAATGCAGAGTTTGTCATGTTTTTTGTGTTTTTCCCCTAATATGTTTGCTCAGAACTTTCGGGTGACTTGTGTTAGACAGGAGCTACAAGGCTCCTCATGTGTAGCTAAACTGTTTTCTATGTGAGGAGTCATATGGCTAATAATAGGTAAACAGAAACTTTACAAAATAGCATATTTTCCTTCCTATGTTAAAAGTAGTGTAATATTATGTCCTTAAGAGTCAGCCTGGCTGGTGTGGCTCAGTGGATTGGGTGCCGGTCTAGGAACTGGAAGGTTGCAGGTTGGATTCCCAGTCAGGGCAAATGCCTGGGTTGCAGGCCAGGTCCCCAGTTGGGGGTGCGCGAGAGGCAAATGATCCATCTCAAACACATTTCTCTCCTTCTCTTTCTCCTTTTTTTCCTCTCTCTCTCTAAAAATATATAAATAAAATCTTTAAAAGAAAAGACTCAAGAAAAATAACGTTTGAATATACATTTTAATTTGTATATTTTCTAAATATACAAATGTATTTACAGGAAATAAGACTTTAAAAACTGCCTTTGTAAACCAAAAATGAATTTTATGCATTGGAATATTTGTGTCATTTAGAATAATTAAAAAATAGAAATTTGGGCATCAATTTTTAAAAAGAGTTCTTATAAAAAATCACCAATTAATTGATGCTTTACTCCAATCAGCCACACTGCTTTTTATAATTGAAAAGAATGTTGATAGGGATATTATTGTTTTCTGGTTTTCTTTTCCAACTCTCTTTTGAAAACTATTGTAATCCATGTTATTCTATGTATCTTTCTACAAAATACTTTTATGATATGATTCTTTAAAAACTTTGATACTAATTCACTGTGCATAAGGCTAAAATTCTTCCATCTGGCATTAAAAAGCCTTTCTAATCTTGCTGCCAATCATATTTCTCAATAATGCCTGGCTTCTTGTTAGGACAATTATTTCCTGAATGCCAAAGATTTCAAGCTTGTTCTTGTCATGTGCCCTATTTAGGACAACTACCCCTCTTCTTTAAATAATACAAGTCTTACTATTTTTTAAGGTCCTCAACAATGAATGTTCCATCAAGCATATTTTTATTTCTTATCATTTTAATTGCTTCAGACAACTTTTTTTACTCTAACAGAAGTTATTGACTATTCCTTGTCCTTATACTATGTTTTATTGTATCCTGAGCCTCCTAAACTAGACTAAACTAGCTTCTTTAAAGAAAAAATTATAGTAATATTGGATACTCATGAAGGTACTGACTTGGATGTATATGCATAACAAATATTTAGTTAATGGTTGAAGGAGTAACTGTAAAGGCATGAATAAAAAATATAATTTTTATAAAATACATGGACTATTACATTATTTGAAGTTGTGCAATATCTTGTGCCTTTTCAACATCAATTTAAATTTCTGCTTAAAAATCATCTTATTTCTAGAGCTGAATTAGAATTACTTATATCTTATTCTGTTCTCTTCCTAAAGGCTATATTCAGATTAAATTATTTAAATATGTTTTTACTTCTTTCTTACAATTCTAGAGGTTATAAATAACTTAATGTGAAATAGTTCTTAAAATTATTGATTCCTATAATTTTAAAGGGCTCCATATTTTGCATGTTGAAATCACCAAGAAATATACATCTTCGCATGTCACAGTAGAAAACACTGAGAATCAGATTGTGGTAAATGTCTTGTTTATGGCACTAGATAGAGACAGATCAAAGAATAGAACCTGTGATACTTAATAGAATAGATTGTTTAATCCCAATCTATTTCTATCTTAATGTGTGTTAATGGGAAATAAATGAGGGGTTGACATTTTTTAATTATAATGATAAATTCATATATATAAGCTTATAAACCAAAAGATTAAAGTTTGTAAGTAGTTTGGCCACAAAAAGATGCCATTTTAGTTGATGGGTTTCTGTAGTCAATATTTACACATTTGAACAGAAATATTTCATATTTGTTAAGAGTTGACATCATGGCAAACAATGCTAATCTTCTGATGTGCATTATTCTTTTTCAAAGCAGACTTGTGAACCAATATAGAAGCTTAGAATAGTTTAAGTAAACCCCAGTGGAAACAAAGTTGTTAAGTGTTAGGGTCGGAAACCTAACTCTGCTCCTCAGTCCAGGGAATGACACCTGGAGCTGCTTTTAAGTGCCATGATAGGGAAGGTGGCTGCTACTGGCTGCTACGAGGAAGTAAAGGCCTGGGAAGCTGCTGGACACTCTGTTATGCACAGGACAGTCCCCACCAAAAATAATTGTTCATTCTAAATGCCAATAAGAAGAAATTGAAAAACTGCAGATTTATACTTCCACATTACCCAAAATATGTTAAGAAAGTAAAAAAAGTAGAACTAGGAGTTATAGTTATTCAGAAAATTCAAGATCACAGTTTATAAAATGTGTTAATAAATTTTTCTCCTTCTTAAAAAATGGCAAGTATATACTGTGTTTCATTATGATTAGACTCAAAATAATTTTCAATTTTTCTTGGTGATTTTTAAAAAATTTTGTCACTGAATTATTTAGTAGTCTGTTATTTAACTTGCAAATATTGGTAAAATTTTTAGCTCTCTTGTTGTGGATTCCTAATTTAATCTGGTTCTAGTAAAGGACTATACTCTGTAAGAGGTCCCCTTTGATATACATTGGGAATTATTTTATTACCCAGTATATGATCAGTACGAGTGATTATTTTTTGTGCTCTTGGGAAAAAAATGCACATTCTTCAGTTATTTGACATGATGTCTTTCATAAATAACTAGTTCATGGTTGCTCAGGTCTTCTGATATTCTTTCTCTTTGTTGTCTACTTGTTTCAAAGTTTGACAAATAGGTATCAACATCTTCAACTATAATTGTGGATCAATTTATTTCTCCATTTATCGCTGCTGGTTTTCCTTTTATAATTTAAATCAATGCTATTAATTAGATGGACTTTTAAGATTATGTATTCCTGAATGACTGTTTTATCATAATGAAATATCTTTCTTTGTCCTGAAGTTAACTGTGTCAGACATTGATAGATGTATTGTTTCCCATGCTATGTTTACATAATATACTTTGTTTCCTCTTTTTACCTAAACCACCTCTGTGTTTTTAAAAACCTTTCTTACAGTTGGCGTAATTAATCCATTTAACATTTAATGTGATTATCAAGAGGGCTTTGTTTAAGTACACCATCATGCTATATTTCTGTGTTGTTTAAATTTTATTTATTAATGAGAGTTTACATTCAACACTTTTTTGTATTAGTTTCAGGTATCCGACACAATAAATGGACACTCACATAGGTTACAAAGTGTTCCCTCTGGTAATACAAGTGCTACCTGGCGGCACAGTTATTAGAGTATTGTTAACTGTACCCCCTCTGCTGCGCTTTACATCCCCATGCTTCTTTTATAACTGCACATTAAAACTTCTTAATCCCACCATCTTTTTTTAACCTGCCTCCCAATACCTCTCTCCTCTGTGTCAGTTTGTTCTCTGAATCTATGAATCTATTTCTATTTTGTTCATTTATTTTGTTTTTTAGATTCCACATATGATATTTGTCCTTCTCTCTCTGGCGTACTTCAGTTCCATCTTGTGTGTTGTTTGTTTTGTTTTTAATTCATCATTTCTATTACTCCTCTGCAGGGTTTTTTTTTTTGCATTAACTGATTTTTTAAATTTATTTTCATTTTTATATAAATGTTTTTGTTTCCCTTTAATTTTTTTCCAGTCGTTGCTTTAGGACCAATTATTATTTATTTAACATAAAACAATCTACTTAGAGTTAATATTGAATCACTTCATACTTTCTGTCAGACATTTCCCACTTTCTTCACAATTCATGCTCCCCATTTTCTATTTTAGTTTTACTACCTCTTAAATATTATTTACTTTAAACAATCAGTAACTGTAGAAATGAAAACAGAAACATAGTCTTTTATATTTACCATTTCCTATGTTCTTTATTCTTTCCTGTGGATTCTAGTTTTCATCTGGTATCGTCTTTCTTAATGCTAAAGAACATTTTTTAGGATTTCTCATTGTGCAAATTGGCTCATTACAAATCCTGTCAACTTTCTTTTATATGAAAATATATTCATTTTACTTAAATTGAGGGATTTTTTTAAGAATATAAAATTCTGAGTTGATCTTTTTAAAAATTTTTTCTTTCATCAGTGTGAAGATGTGTTCCATTATTTTCTTGACTTTTCAGTTCTGATGTGAAGCAAGACTTTATTCTTATAATTATATCCCTGCATGTAATATCTCCCCTGCCCTACCCCAAAGTTGATTTCAAAATTTTCTCTTTATCTCTAATATTCAATTTTTTGTTCATAATGTTATGAAGTGTCATTTCTTTGTATTTTTTTGACGGGGTCTGGGATACTCTAAGATATTTCCTGTTGATTTTAATGTCACATTTGAGATATTTTGTGTCAGTATTTCATCAAATAATCTTTCTACATCATCCACATTTCAATCTTCTTCTAAACTC